CCATACCGCCTCAGCCCAGTGGAGAGGGAAAAGGTTCGTAGCATTGTTAACGAATTACTGAAGCACAACATTATTATACGTGAAAGCAAATCGCCATACTAAAGTCCTATTATTTTGGTAAAAAAAGAATGGAGATGACCGTCTTTGTGTAGACTTCCGCGAATTAAATGCCAATACATTGCGGGATCATTACCCACTCCCACTCATCTCCGACCAGATCGATCAACTGGGCAATGGACTCTACTTCATCACATTTGATATGGCGGCAGGTTTCCATCAAATACCTATTTCGGAGAATTCCATAGAGAAGACTGCATTTGTTACACCTGATGGGTTAATGAATACCTTACTATGCCATTTGGTTTATCCAATGCATGTGCAGTGTACCAAAAGTGTATTAATAGGGGATTGTTTTCGTTACTAGGAAGTGCTGCTCAAGTTTACGTCGATGATATTTTGAGCAAAAGTGCTGATTTTGCTCAAGGGCTAGTAAACATTGAACGCATTCTCATAGCATTACAGAAGGCTGGGTTTTCTATTAATGCAGATAAGTGCAGCTTCTTCAAACGCTCAATAGAATATTTGGGTAACGTTGTTTCTAATGGTCAAATCCGTCCAAGTCCAAAGAAAGTTGAAGCTCTAGTCAAGTCACCAGTACCGAATACTGCTAAAAAAGTAAGACAGTTCAATGGTTTAGCTGGATATTTTTGGAAATTTATCCCCGACTTTTCCCGTATAATGATACCCTTGTATGAGTTGATAAACAAGGTGCTAAGTGGGAGTGGAATGATCGACACGAAGAAGCACGTAATAAGATAATCCAATGTTTGACATCATCTCCTGTGTTAACAATATTTCAGGAAGAAGCACCGATGGAATTATACACGGATGCTAGAAGCTTGGGATTTGGTGCCGTACTAGTACAGATAATCAACAAACGTCAACATGCAGTTGCCTATGGTAGGGTGAATGAAAGAGATTGTGTTGAAAAACATTTTCACAGTATCTGTATGGACGGAGTTCAATCGATTGAATGTGAAAGCACAAAGGGATCTCCTCCCGAGAATTCATCGGTGGTGGGCGTTTTTACAGAACTATGATTTTGAAGTAGAATATCGCAAAGGAAATCGTCTGCAACATGCCGACTTCTTTAGTAGAAATCCAAGTAGTTGTGAGGTTAACATTATGACAAGAGACCTGGATTGGTTAAAGGTCGAACAACGCCGAGATGAGATGTTACGTCGTCTGATGGACAGCTTCAATAACGGAAATCCAGTGGATGGGTACCTTCTAGAAAACGATGTTTTAAAACGAATCGTAAAAGACCCAATTTTTGGACAGCAAATCTGTATTGTGGTTCCTAAATCCTTCCAGTGGAGTATAATAAATTCATTTCATACAGCGCTTAAGCACCCTGGATGGGAAAAGACTCTACATAAAATTAAAGAATCTTACTGGTTTGATAAAATGAATACCCTGGTGCGCAGATTTGTGGACAACTGTATCGTGTGTAGAACATCAAAAGGAACATCGGGCGCTGTACAAGCTCAACTACATCCAATCCAAAAGCCAACTACAGCTTTTCAAGTGATACATATGGATATCACTGGCAAGCTCGGTACTACAGATGACCAACAATATGTTATAGTAACTATCGATGCTTTCTCAAAATATGTGCTATTTTATTATGCTACCAATAAAAGTCCGCACAGCACATTGGCTGCACTAAAACGTACTATACACCTATTCGGAACACCACTTCAAATTATTGTGGATGGAGGCAGAGAATTCTTGGGGGAATTCAAGACTTATTGCCAACAGCTTGGAATAAACATCCATGATATATCACCAGGAATCAGCCGAGCTAACGGACAAGTTGAGCGAATAATAGCAACGCTCAAAAATGCATTAATAATGATAAAAAATTATGAAACAGAACAATGGCATACTGCATTAGAAGAACTTCAGTTGGCCATAAATTGTACTGCTCATCGAGTAACAGGTGTCGCTCCGCTTACTCTACTTACAAGACGAAAACACTGTGTTCCACCGGAACTACTCGGGTTAGTAAATATTGATAATCAAACTATCGATATTGACTCCCTTTCCAGACAAGTGCAGAATAGAATGTCTCAAGCATCGGAACAAGATAGACAACGATTTAATCAACGTAAAGCTAAGATCTGTCATTTTCAGAAAGGAGAATACGTACTTATCAAAAATAATCCACGCAATCAAACCTCATTAGATCTCAAATTTAGTGAACCCTATGAGATATGTAGAGTACTTGAAAACGACCGTTATTTGGTAAAAAAGGTAATTGGCAGAGGACGGCCTCGAAAAGTCGCCCACGATCAACTACGTCGTGCCCCGCAGCCAGGAAACCAGAGGGCCGTATCGGCGGAAAGAGAGCCATACTCTTGTAATATTAGTGCAACAAGTGAGCCCGGCCCATCCACTTCTTAATAATCATAACAGCAGAACCTAACTCAAGAACAAAACATTTAACGCTTGTAAAATAATGTTCTACTTTCTATTTTAGAGCCACTGTGTATAACAGAGCATCGACCCTATCCTAGTTCCTATAGAGCCCCTGTGTACCACGGCGAACGGGACCGCCCAGAACACAGCATCACTCCATTTCCATTCTACGAGACGACGAGAATTATGTGTGTAGACGTGATGTATGGTCGAAACACAAATAATAAACAAATAGCAGTAAAGCTGTAAAAAAAAATTGGTAGGTGCTGAGCACGCACCACCAATCAGAATGGCCGTATCGGCGCAACAAAGTATAAGCGACGTATCGGCGCATTACTTAAACAATTATTATTCATTTAAAAATCAATAGACGTTATTTCAACTTCTGAAATAACGTTATAAGCTGATTTTTATAACATGTGTCTTTATTTTTATAATTAGTTAATTATTGTTACCAGATAAATAATTTAAAATGCTTTAATTCACAATATCATTAAATGCGGGTTGTCGCTATAACAATTTGAAGGTAATCATTCTCAAAGCGCAGGAAGTGGGGATGGCTTGCGCTCGCATTCAGTTTAAAAGGCGCGCGACGGCTGGGGCAGGATTCATTCTTGCTCGAGCTGTCGTGCTGTTCGGACTGTTAGTTGAATTCGCGAACTATTGTCATGTATTTATCGTTAATTGTGTTTGTTGATTGTGAGTAACTATTAATTGTGATTAGTAAAATCAGTTAAAAGTAAATAAGTGATTCTTATTATTAAAGAAAACAATAATGATTGAAACTAGAATTCTCAATAATGACGTCATAGTTTTAAAAATACTTCTGGTGCAAATATTCTGTCATATATTATGTATACCTATTTGATAAATTATAATGGCAAAACGTCGTTCCTACTATAAGTAATGCGTGGATGGACAGGTACTAAACGACCAACAAAAGGTTTCATATCATTCTTTAATTTTCCGAAGGATTTTAGAAAGAAGTTATGAAAGGTGAATTCATTTAAATTGTTTTTGTAGTTGACTTACAGCAAAAAAGAATTAAGTAATACTTTGATCAAGAATAAATACCTAAGTACTTTAATACAAAAATTTGTTAAAATTTACTTACATACCTATACTTGTGTGTTGTATCTACTTACATACCTATACTTGTCTTTTGTAATTAAAATATTTTAAATTATACATTATAATAACACAAAACACTGAAATTAAAATATTGTATTCTAACAAGATTTTTATTTAAGTAGAATAGATCACATTTCTCTTAGAAATCGTATTACAGGTTTATTTGTTGTTTACACTATCTACCTACTTCTTCCGAGATTCAACGAGATTTTTTGAAAAACCTTTAGAGACTGCAATTCGACAAATTATATTAAATTCTTTTAAATAATTTTCTTTACTTAATGGAACAGTGAACAGACGGTTAATGTAACAATAAAAAGCGGCTATTATACGTTGCCATAGATGACACAATGACGCGGGGATAACCGTGTCGGTATGAGTTTTAAAAAAATCTCATTAATAATCTTATTAAAAAGAAACAAAAGCATGTTGTTCGCAATTCTTTATACGCGGTTCGATCTCAAAGTGTCCGGCGATATGTGGGTAGTTTGACCTACTTAGGTTCCATATCGGAAAAAATAGCTAATACTCTTAGAAAAAAACGGCGTTAACGTGGCATTCAAAACAAATAGTTCGCTTAGGAATATTTGTAATAATAAAGATAAGTTAAATAATAGTAAAAAATTAGGTATTTATAAACTTGTTTGTGACGAATGCCACGCTGTTTACGTGGGTCAAACTGGTCGCAATTTCGGAACGCGCTATAAAAAGCATTTGGCCGCGTACAGAATTGAAATCCTGATAAATCCCATTTTGCTAAACATCTCTTGAACACTGGACACAATCTAGCCATCGACCATTCCTTTGAAGTCTTACATACGGGCTGCGACTGTGCAACTGGAACAGTTGGAGATTTTAAAAATGATGATGGTAACAATGCACTGCTGAATAAACAAACAAATGTTTCTAATTCACCTTTGTTAAACATCTTTAAGGCTAATCTTTAATAATAATTTTAAAATTAATAATAATAAATAACTGTAATAATATCAATAAAAAAACAACAATAGTATATATATATATATATATCGGCTTAGGGAAGTGACGACACCCCATCGCCCGCTGACGTAACGGTTATGTGACAAAACCACTACGTCAGCGCAGTCGGTCAGCACCTTGCCAAGAGGTGTTAGTGCCGTGCCTCTGCAAAATTGAAGGTGCAAAGGCCCGCTTGTGCACATGGCCCCACCATGAAACGGCGCCGGGTCTGGGCGTCTCCCGTAAAATAACGCCCACCACTATGGATGATGGAATACGGAAGAACGCGCAAAGGGCCGCTGCCTGGAGGTCGCCAGGGCGCGTCTGAAGCTGGCGCTGGACGCGATAGCATGCGAACCGCCAGCCGAGCGAGAGGTGCTGCACGACCACCCATCGGCCCCTCGCATCCATTATCCCCACCAGCTAGCTTGGTGTCGGCAGGGTCTACGCGGGCCCAGCAATCGGCACCCGCCACTGGTGGAGTACGCCACATGTGATGGACAATCGAAATGAATACTAACGCATTGCGGGCGTATTTTAGGGCGAAAGGGGGATAAGTTGGAGGTTTGGCGTATCGGGCTAGGATGCATCGCTTTTTTTGCAGAGCTGGAGCCATCTCTATCCGTCACTGAGCAAAACCTGGCGGACCGAGTTCGGTACATCCTGCGCTCCAACATATTTGGTGACGCCGAACTCGAACGACTACGACGTGAGGCTGTTCCCTCATCGAATGGAAATGCTACGGCTGGAAATGCGGCGCCACTAGATGCGCAGTAAACTGCATATGTGGATGCTGCCGTCAATATTCCATTTGTGGTTAATTCAGACGATGATGGAATAGTCTCCCACGAACTAGAGAAAATGAGGAGCATATTAGAAGAGTCGATGCTGGAAACGCGAAGCATGCCTCTCGAAAATCGACCGCGACTTCCCCTACATTCCCCTTAGCAATCGAAATCGGGCTGTCGTGCGGGCTCTTAGCCCAATGCTGGTGACCTATTTGGAAGCCATCCGGGACCTTTGCGAGACGAACTCAATTCTTTTTGGCACCGCACTAGCAGTATGCCGTATTATTGGCGCCAAACTTCCCATGGCTGGACGTGCTACTCAACAAAGTAGCGCCATCCCAGCCTGGATAAAAAGAATCGAGGACCGTATCGCAAAGGCAAGGGCCCTTATCGGCACACTGACAGGCTTCAGGTCGGGTAATAATAGACAGAGAGTTGTGCGCACCGTTAGAATGGCGTTTGCTGGGACAAATATTAGTTAGTTCCAGTCGGATATCACGCAGAAACTAACGGAGCGCATAGATGACCTGAAGCAAAAAATCGCTGCTTGGGGGAAGCGGATTCGACGATTTAGCGAGAGGTCAAGGCAGTTAAACCAGAATCGTCTCTTCCAGAGTGATCAGAAGAGGCTCTATAAATCATTGGAGCGACCAGAGGTATGTGGAGCGGGCCCAGGACCGGATCAGGCTGACACTGTCGCATTTTGGCGTGGCCTGTTGTCAGATCCCGTAAACCACAGCGAGGACCCTTGGATGGAAGTTGTGGCGAGCCAGAGTGCAAGTGTTACGCCTATGGACCCCATACCATACACTATAACGCCTGAAGACGTGGCTGAGGCGGTCCGTAAAGCCCCGAACTGGAAAAGTCCGGGGCTAGACGGGCTGCATCATTACTGGCTGAAGGGGTTCGTAGTGTGTCACGCTGTGCTCGCCCGACAGTTTCAAGAGGCTCTCGATCAGAAGTCGCTCCCGAGCCTCATAACTACTGGGATCACTCACTTGGTTCCCAAAGATCAGGATACCACAGATCCGAGCAAATACCGCCCCATCACGTGTCTACCCACCATATATAAGACACTGACATCCATTTTGAGCGCGATAATCACTCGTCACCTAGAGCTAAATCAGGTGATGGCCCGCGCTCAAAATGGATGTCGGGGCGGTGGTCGTGGAACCAAGGAACCACTCCTCATTGACGCGGTCATTGGCAAAGTGGTGAAACGCAACCGTCGGAACTTCTCCGCCGCCTGGATAGACTACAGAAAGGCATTCGACTCGGTGCCCCATACATGGCTAAAGAGAGTCCTCCAGCTGTACAAGATTGACTGTACAGTTGGAGGCTTCCTCGAGCAGTGTATGGGGCAGTGGAGTACGATCCTTTGCTATCTGGGCGAGCGGATGATGGCTGCAGAGAACCACATAAGGATAAGAAGGGGTATCTTCCAGGGCGATTGTCTGAGTCCAATCTGGTTCTGCCTCTCTCTGAACCCTCTCAGTACTTTACTAGAGGGCTCCGGGAGGGGATTTCAGCTTCGGAAAGGAGGTACAAAAGTGACCCACCTTTTCTATATGGATGACCTCAAGTTATTCGCCTGCAGTCGCTCCCATCTTATGGAATTGCTAAACATCACTTGTGAATTTAGCAATTCTATGGAGGACCGCACACTTATCCGTCCCCAAGGACGGATAAGTGTGCGGTCCTCCATAGTACAAAGTGGGTCCTCCACGTTGAAAGGGGAAGGGTTGCTAACTCGGAGGGCGTAGACTTATCTATGCCTGTCAACTTAAGGACCCTTTCAGAGGCTGAAACATACCGATACCTGGGTATGTCACAGAATATCGGTATCGATGAGGCTGGTACGAAACAGTCAGTTTGCGACGTGTTTTATGCACGCTTGATCAAAGTGCTTAACAGCCTTTTGTCTGGTGTGAATAAGACACACGCATATAACGGTTGGGTCATGCCTGTTCTCATGTATACCTTTGGCATACTCAGGTGGACTCAGACTGAACTTAACGCCCTGGATAGAAAAGTCCGCACTACAATGACGTCCCATAGGATGCATCATCCAAGATCGTCGGTAATGACGCTGTACTTGCCGCGAAAGCATGGTGGGCGTGGCTTCTTGAGCGCGCTCACCGTGCATAATCGCGAAGTGTGCAGCCTCCGTGATTACTTTCTGGCGATATCGGATGATCCATTCTATAAGGACGTCATTTCTTGTGATAAAGGACTTACCCGTCTATCCTTAGCCAACGAGCAATGGCAAGACCCGGCAGTGCAGAGCATTTCCGACCGGGAGACCGTATGAAAGGAGAAGGAGCTCCACGGGAGGTTCTACAAGGCTCTATATGAGCCTTTCGTAGACACAGTAGCCTCCCTCCACTGGCTACGCTTTGGTGATCTCTTCGGGGAAACCGAGGGTTTGTCTGTGCAATACAGGATCAGGTTATTAAGACTATCGGACTATCAAAAACAACTATCGGAGATACATCCTAAAGGATGGCACCGTCGACATCTGTCGAGCTTGTCGCCATCCCAGTGAGTCACTTAGGCATGTCAACTCCGGTTGTTCGGCGCTTTCTAACTCTGAGTACTTGCACAGGCACAACCTAGTAGCCAGAATTCTTCACCAGGAGCTCGCTTTAAAATACGGTCTCGTGGATCGGAAATTGCCGTATTACAAGTACTTGCCGGAAGCCGTGCTCGAAAATGATCGCGCAAGGCTCTATTGGGACCGGGCCATCATCACAGACAGGACTATTCTTGCGAATAAGCCTGATATTGTGCTGATGGACCGGGCACAGTCAAGGATATTTTTAGTCGACATTACCATTCCGTATGACGAGAACCTCGTGAAAGCCGAAACAGATAAGCAAACAAAATATCTGGACCTGGCTCACGAGGTGACTGACATGTGGGGTGGTCTGCCGACCGAAATTATTCCTGAAGTCGTTTCTGCAAACGGGCTAATCCCAGTCAGCCTCTCGGGTCATCTGAGGCGGCTGGGACTACGTGGCGGACCGCTCCAGGCTCAAATGCAGAAGGCGGTGCTCCTCGATACCGCCCGCATCGTCCGCCGGTTTCTTTCCCTTTCCCCCTAACCCTCGGCCGTTTGGTCTCCCCTGCCGAGGGCCTATTTTATGTTATTGATATTTATGTATATTTATCTTTTCATTTTCATTTATAATTATATATTTATAGAACCCAACCAGATGAGAAAACTATATTTATACCCCCCATAATAATATTTAAAAAATATTAATCATAACAATAATGATAATTAGTCGCAGGTTTGCTATCGCACGGCGCGGTCACTCGCTACTTTGGTGGGGAGTGGTTGTGTCGGCGTGTATAAATAGCAGCTGTTTCGGTTCGCCGCTCACTTAGCGGTCAGCCGCCGTAGAGTCTACATCACCTGAAGATGCCTCGTGTAGAGGCGAAACACGTGTCGTATTATCGTCGATGGTGTGTCTTACCTGGAAAAGTGATGTTGGAAGTAGTGATGCTGGGACTAGTGGTGACGGAGTTAGTGCATGCAACTGAGGGACGGCGGAAGGTGCTCTTCAATCCAGGTAAGACACATCATTGTATTTAGTGAGCGGAAGGTTGCGAAGTAATTAGTATTTTTACTTTAAAGCAGTGTTGCTACATATAAAGATTTGTTCAAAGTTTCAGTTTACTACGAAATATTTAGGGTATGGAGTGTAGAAGTAAGGAGTACAAACTGTGTATTAAAAAGTGTCCATAGAGAACCGTTAAATAAAGGTGGCGCCACTATGGCCACGGGCTAAATTTTAAAGAACGTGTCAAAAAATATTAGGAGGATAGACGACTTTTTCGAGGTTATATTTACTAAGTAAAATTATTTCAGATTTTAAAGCTAGAGCAAACGCGACAACTGCTAAGTGCATTTCATCCCAGTAGTTACTCCAGCGCCGTTGTGGAGAGTTTTTGAACTGTTATTTACTGCTTACATATGGCCACTTTTTCAACTATTCTACTATGGGAGTTGGTACTCCTTACTTCTACTCCATAATTTAGGGATTTATGGTATAGTGAAATTCAACATCATACAGAATATTGTGAAGCAAATGTAGAGCATGCAAACATTCGACATTTGTTAATTATAAACCATAACTATTTAAGTCTTGTTGTACGGGAATGTTAACACACTTCACGGCAATACTGTAGGACCACATGCGGATGTATCAAGAATATCCTTTCAATAATTAACGTTTATAGCCGTGTAACTAAAGCAAAACTAATATCAATTTGTCTGGTTCTTTTTTTTTTAATAATTTATAAATTCTATATTTTATAATTTTAATCTTATCTGTTTGAAAGTTTTCAAAGTTTTTAATCACAACCGTGTTTCTTGGGTTTATTATTACAACAAACAAGTGGTAATATTAAAAAACATTGTACAACCGACTACAATATAAATAAAATGAGAACATCATCAATGTAGACGAAGTTAATTAAATACAGTCGAATTGAGAACCACCTCCTTTTTTGAAGTTGGTTAAAAAATAATTGAAAAAAGACTTGTGTGTTCCACCACTAGTTTTGTTCTCATTTCAATATTTGGGAAAATTTAACCATCACCGGAACGTGTCTCCTGTTTTATCGCTTAAATAATGGTTTGAATTGGATTTAATACGTAAAAGTCTGAAAGAAGAGGAAAGAGGTAGCGAGATAAATATAGATGAAATTGCAATGAAAAGCATGAAAGCAGGTAAGGCTGCCGGATATGATACTTTCACTCCTCGAAATGCTAAGGGCTGGAGAGGAAGTGGTGGCAGGCCTGATGCACACCTTGTTTAATTTATGCTGGGAACTGAAGCGGGTACCGGTAGACTGGAGCAAAGCCGTGATAGTTCCAGTATATAAAGGAAAAGGGTCGCAGCAGGACTGTAAAAACTACCGTGGTATCAGCCTTCTTAGCATTGTGGGAAAACTGTATGCTAAGGTACTGATTAAAAGGGTCATGAAAGAAACTGGTGAAAAAATTTGGGATGTGCAAGCGGGACTTAGAATAGGAATGGAATGTACAAATCAAGTCTTTTCCATGCGCATGATCGCGGAAAAGTTTTTGGCCAAAAAAAAAACCAAAA